ATAAAAAAGCTGTGTGTGGCCTCCAAGCAAGTTTAACAGATATTACTTTGTTTCAGATTTTGTGGTATTAAATTCCTGATAGTATATCTTGTACTTCATATCTGTGGGAAAAATCATAAGCTTTTATGTTTTTGAGAGGCATCTTGGATTGTGGGAAGGAAACACAAAATCAAGGACAAAAGACCAAGATTTCCTTGTCCTTCCTCAAAAATAATATAGAATGGGGACTCCATTGTCAAATGCTTAATCATTCTATATGACAAAGTCAAACTCAATCAAGAATTTCCATGGTATCTAGGTTCTAGAAAATATTTTCATTTTGTAGTTGCAGGAGACAAGTAAGTTGACCAGTATCATGTTGACCAGTTCACCAAAGCCATGCGATTTCTAATTTTATAAAACAACCTAATGGCTAAAATGTAAAGAATTTCTCTCACCCTAATATCTCAAGGAAATCAAATAAATCTGCAAGCACATGACACTGACATATATTAACTTTAAAAATAGACCTGAGAAACTTGTTGTTTTGACATAAGTCTGGGGGTGGGAGGGGAGTGGAGGGTGTGGAGTGAAGGGGGGGAAAGTGATCTAGATAATTGTGTACGTATAAAAGGCCAAATCCTTAGGCCATAAACCAGGCACACACCCAATGATGTCAATGTGTTTGGCTTACAGGGGAAATAAAGCAACATTTTATTACATGCTAAGTGAGAATCTTTGCTTGACCAGAATGAGGGAAAAGTGCAAACAGGTGCTGGCTCAGCAGGAATGGAAACTCAAGAATAATAGCAGCTTTTTCTCAGGCTCATAAGCATCCTGAAAGACTACATTTCTGTCAGTACCTTAATAAAGAATTATCTATTACCCAATCCACCTATGTCTGGGTTTGAGGCTATCTGCAGAAGCTTTTGATTGTGAAGCTGCTTAACATTATTTCTCCATCCCTGCCTTTGCTTGTGCACAAGCTTTTGCAAAAGCAACCCCCTTCAGTCAAGGAAGCTGGGGCCCCACTCTCCTCCAGCTTGTGGGGAAAGAAAGGAGTCATTATTGACACATGCAAGTGATTTGAGAAGAGACTGTCTACCCCAATAGAAAGAGACTTAGTTGTCTGGTGAATCAGGAAATGTCAGACTTTCTGAAAGGTTAATGGGACGCTTTAGAAACACATTAAATCTAATCTTACAGCATGAATGCTGATGACTTTATGTTGAGATCCTAGAAATAAGAAAGGGCAAGAAAGAATATTTTAGGTGAAAGTAAGTTTTGACTGAGGAGCCAGGAGAGAGCTTTATTGCAACATATTGCTGAATTTCTCCTTCCATATAGGGCTGGCAATCTGCCTGGTACCATATGCTAAAAAAAGATATAATATGAGACCATTTGAATTGAAAGCAATTTTTTTTATACTTGCTGAAGTTTAATTAAATGAATGCCCTGGTCAACTCTAGAAGGGAACAAAATTGATTTCTTTCAGAGTTATGTAAATGGGTTGCATAAAACTTCAGTCACTATATAGTGCTGTTAGCATAACCTTCCCAGTTCAGTCAGAATCATCTGTGCCTCTTCTGGTTTAGCTGAAGAATCATTGAATATGCGCACTTTGCATGCTGTCTTTCCTCCTGCATCTTACAATCTCATATACATTAACAGAAGTAGCAGCATAGGACATGGGGGAACAAACAAGGGATGTTGTTAGCTGGGTTTCATTTCATATTTCACACAGTTTTGTACCCTTAGTTTTTTAAGTAATATTTTCTGTGGTATCTTCAGTTTTGAATTTTACTTTTAGGTCATTACTCTTTTGTTTGTGACTTTCATTGCTCAGCTGCTTTGGGGAGATTTGCCTTTGGTAGTCGTTAGCAGGTTTTTACAACGTGGGCACAATTGGTTAATCCCATAATAGAAACCTGCTGTGCAGAGAGTGCTATTTTTACTGTACATACGTATCTCATAGCACAAGGCAGTTTTAGAAGGCGATACAGCTGCCATTAAATCCATACATCTCAAGGAGGGCCATGAATAGCTGCTCCTTGTGTAAGGACGTATCCTGCGGTTCTATTATCCCAGCTCAGGCACTGAGTAACACTTTTCTTTAGCAAATCAATATCCTTACCTCTCCTTTTTTGAGTCTTTTTGCTTCTTTCACTACCTCCATTGTTCCTGGAAAGAAATAGTGCCTGTGTCTCTGCTGACCTATGGGCCCATGTGCCAAACTGAAATGCCAGCAGGAGCATTGTGGGGCTCCCATCTTTCCAGGGAAGCCAGGGTGCCAGGGGAAGAGATAAGGTGCAGGGCAGAGGTCCATGCTGCTGCAAAGCTGGTGTCTGAACAACCTCCAGGTTAAAAGTAGCCACTGTGAATTAGGGGTTTTACTGCAGTCAGAGTGAGCAGCCAAACACCCTGGATGAGTCTGCACATTATGGCTGAGCCTCACGCGGCACAGGTTGCCCGGCAGGATGGCTGTGCTGCAGCCTCTCTCTTCACAGCCCAGAAATAGATGTGTCCTGGTTCTCCCTTATCCCTTTTCAGTAGCTCCTTCCTGATTGCTCCTGCTGTACTCTTGGGGCACTTTGGGAACATGCTGTGTGCACAAGTGTGCGTGAAGCGTGTGGGGTGGGGGGGCAACAACACGTACTCTGCAGGTTGCTCATTTGGTACAAAATGTGACCATGCAGCTCTGCCAAATGCAAGGGTTTCTACCTCACATTTTCAAAGCCACCCAGATCTTAGTGCCACTGAAATGCTAGGGTTTTGCTCCTACTGTTCTTCTCCCAACACAACATAATTGCAATCAGATTAAACAAAACATGAGAAAACGTGCTTGTGGACTAGATTTATAAATGTCTGGTCTGTTCTCACATCACTTTGACGAATGCCAGGCTTTAGTCCGTATATTACTTTTAAGATTAAAGAGGGGAAAGCATACAACAGCGATCTTAAGCAAGAGCTACATTTGTTAATGTATCCTGAAAAATGCACTTTTTTTAGAGACTGGACATCTATATCAAAGCATAATCTCTCAGCAGCAAACATGCAAGTATCATTCACCTACAAAAACCTTGGCACATCTGTGCATTTATCAAGTCTTAAAAAAATCCTTAAGGGGGCTGTCATGTTTGTCATGAATTATCCCAACCTGCATGCACCTCAACCTGAACCCTCTGGGAGAAGGCTAAGGCGACTGCTGCTGATTTATGGAGGCAGACAGCTTAGAGTCCCTGCCAGGGAGTAAGTAAATCGTGGTGACTGTGTGTAAAAGGGATAAAGCACAGTCATTTTCAAATGCTCATTCAAGCAATTCTTCTAGAAGAGATCTGCAGAAAGTAATGAGGAGGTTTATATTCACTCCTACTGACCTACACTTCTATTGGAAAAAGTTCCAAGGTTTCTAAGTATATGAAGACTGAAAACACCTTCAATTCCAGCTGGGTCATGGGGGTGTACCCAGATTTTTCTGTGTTAGTGCCACAAGGAAGACCAGAAGGTTTCTCTATACACACACACACACACACACACACACATGCAGGAGTCACTTCGTTAGGATTAAAAACTAGAAACCAGGAAAATTTAAATGAACACAGAATTAGTGGCAAGGACTGAAAATTGATTTATCTTTTGAAGAGATGTCCCTGATGTTCTCCCTGGGTGCTCTACCCTTTGGTGGTGGGTTGCTGCTCCTAGGTATGGTAAGGCAGCAAATTTAATAATTAATTAATATTTAATGCAATATTAATACAAAATTACCACCCAGCTGTATCCACTGGGACCACTACCAATTCTGTTTCATGCATTACTGACTCAATGTATGTCAGTATATTTTATTCAGTGTTCAGTATTCTCTGTAGTAACATTATTTCTTCTTTTGAGTCAGGGTCATGGGATCATATTCAAAACTATCTACAGAAGAGATTGTAATTAAATTCAGAGATTGGATCCCATGTGTTCTATGTCCACTAACTAATGCCACCACCTCCCCCCTCCAAGTATATACATGTAAATATATTTATGCAGGTGTGACTCATGTGCCTCTCTAGAGTTACATATGTGTGTTTGCTTGGGCATGGCAATCACTGAACATGCAGTAAACCTTCTTTGGTAATTATAAGTTAGAGTTCAATATGATATCTATGATCATAAAATCTCCGCTAGGTAGATAAATTAATAAAAATCTTATAATAATGTCAACTTTCCAAAGATAGCCTGAGAAACTAGAAAAGTAGATGATGGTGAGCATGAAGATTCTCAGTTACACTGGGGACTCCATAGGCCCAATTTAAACCCCATTATTTTGTCATAAAATCATAGCTTTTGTAAGGCTCTTTTAAAATTGGATTCTTTAAAAACAATAATTATGCAATAAAAACTGAGGAAGTTTTCAACACTAGAATTATGTCTGCATTTTTTATATTGATGTATGTGGGGGTTTTCCCAGATAGAAATGTGTTTGCCAGCTGAGTTGTCTCAAATCTCTCCATGTGTAATCAAAGGCCTTGAAATACTTTTTCAAGTAGTTGGAGGATGGAAAATATAATCATTTAAAAATATAAAAGTCAGTTAGAAAAACCGACCCGGGTCTGTTCCTGCACTCTGAGCTAAGTCACAGTCACTTTTTTCTCCATAGACTTCAAATCCTCTTTCCAAACTGTCCTATCATTTAGTCATTATTTACAAGTTAAGGTCCATTCAGACAGTATCCCTACTCTAACTCTTAGAGTCATAAAGGAAGATGAGGTGACAGTATTTCACAGTGGATCAAGTTGGCTTTTTAATGTCATCAATGAATTTTGATTTAGCCTCCCTAACACCAAAGCAAAGCTTTAGTTTCATTATGGAGGGATGTGGAGATACTCAGTAGGGTGGTGATGTGTGAGCAGATTTTCCCTCCCCCCTTTTATTCTGTTATTACTTTCCAGTATCTCCAGGCTGCACAATATTCCTTGAAAGCAAACAGTTTATGCAAAGCAGCTGTCTAACGAAGTTACTTTTACTTTCCCTTGCAGGGTGGCCTATTGAACATGATTAACTTGACTCTGATGGAAAGGAAAAAATAACCTGGAAACATCTGGCAAATTGTAAAGCATTGCCTAACATTTTTTTCCCTGTAGGATTTAATTCAGAAACATACTTAATGGATCCCCATTTACCTAAAGCACTAAAGGTTTTGATGCAGGGGTTTGGGGGATTTGGGTTTGGTTTCTCTCACCCTACTAGCTGTAGCTCTGTAATATTTCATCTCATACTCCTGAATCCATTAGAAAAAATGTGCAATTACAAGGTGGGCATGGTGCTGCGTTGATAAGGTGTTTACTGTTCCAGGCTGGTTTGTTGTGCTTTGTATGCACATTTGAGTCTTGAAATATGTGAAAATTAATTTCCTGTGTTCCATATGGCTAAAATGACATGTAATTTGAAATGTAATTTAGGGACTCACATAAATAGAAATTTGAAAATGATTTTTAAGAATTAAAGCAATGTTGGTAAAATTTTTAGAGGATTTTATTTAATTCACCAGGTAATAAAAAACTGTGAAATGTCATGTGTAGAAAGGCATTCTTATTTTACTGGGTTTTTTTTTAAATTTTGGAATATTGTTAAAAAAGCAGAGAGAAAAAGCATTGTGTCCATTTTATATGTGTATTTTTTATTCAGAGATTTTGTCACATAATCCGTGGAAAAAATGCACTCCACAGAATTAAGTATTTTATATTCACTGTCTCTTATATATAATTTCTCAAGTAGTGCTATTTTGTGGAAAAAGAACAGAGAAAATGGGAGGAATGAATAACCACTGCAAACAAGTGTCAGCTTTGTCTTCTTTCTGGAGACTTCTTCAAAATTTCATAGACGACCATAAAAAAAGTTTTCAAAAAGTAAATTAAAATTCTTTCACAATTGTATGAAAGACACATGATTTGATCAGTGGTCAAAATTTAACTCCCCCAAATTATATTGATCTGATGTGAAACAATTTTGTTCTGGCTTATCTAACTTGTAAATTTTAGACTTTGGAAAAAAGGCTTCACATCCAAAATTTTAAATTTCAAAATGAAAGTTCACCGTGATCTGAATATCTAGTAACAAAACAGCTGACATTAACTAAATTTCATGTAATGATACAATATTTGTTTTAATTTTAGCAAGCAGCAAAATAAGCCCATATGCATATTTCTTTGGCAAAAATTTGTGAGAACAAAGTTTTCAGATCTAATTCCATCAACAGTCCCTGAAAAACCAGACATGTGTCACCTTATGGATTGCTATGACCTACACAGGTCATACAGGTAACAGGTTTTTAAGGCATGTTTCTTTTTCTGCACCAACAGGTCAAAGGTAGCACCCACAGACACGTCCATGGATTTGTGGCCCTTATGATATACACCAACCCCTCTTCTGCAGCTGGAGTGTTAAAATTGCCTGATTTTGTATTTTAAGCACAGGGCTTTACTAGAATCTACAAAAAAGTACCTCTGCATGTCTAGTGTCTTGTCTCCAGAGTCTTCATTTATTTGCTTCTGAATGTCTTGGAGGACTAAAGAGTGTGTGACCATTTATTTAACAACATGTGCCAGGACTCCAATTTGCAGTGCTCTGAGCCATTTGCAGCAAGTCCATTTCAACTCTCTCCTTCTCCATTTTCAGACATTGCATGAATTACTAGCAAGATTACAGGGATATGATCTCCAGATGCACTCTGTGCTTGCTCACACTCTGTGCAGAACAGAAGCAATAAAATGAGCAGCACAGGATATTGGTGAATTTGTGACATCTTCTGATGAGGCATCAGACTGAAGTGAACTGAGTGCAGAGTCACTTCCATCATTTAGCCTGAAGTGTCTGAATGACTTTTCCTCAGCCTCTAACCCAACAAAAACTGTTGATTTCAAACAACATTTCTCCCTTTCTGATCTCACTTTTCATGTTGATTGAAGTAACAAGTAGGACTTTCCAGATCAAGGATCCTAATTGTAGTATTCCTTCCCTAAGGGTATCTCTAATACTGATTTTATGGCAGCATTGAATGAGAGGCTTTTCTGTCCATATCTGTGACTTCTCTCTCTTTAACCCCTTCTTTGCATCCTTTTCTTCATTTTGCTTAGGATTTTTGTTCACTTAGGATTTTTGTTTCATTAGTTTATTTGTTCTTTTTTTTCTCTCTATTTTACAAGGAATCCAAACATTTGTAATGGCAGATGCTTTTTGGAGAATTTATATAAGCTGAGCAAATGCTATCGTCTGCTCTTGAGTTCTCTGAATTTTATCTGTCCTTCAAGCAGTAAACCGCTCACCACTTTCTTAGAGATAAAAATGTGATCCTTCGATATTTGTCAACCTGTGTCCATTATTATTTAAATTGTTATAGGTATCTAGGCAAAGAAATAATGGAAAGCATGAATTACATCTGAGAAAAGCTGTATGGGGAATTTCTGACATGATATGTTAGATAAGAGTCCATTTTGAAATATTCAGGTCAAGTGACTGATGACTGCTGGGGATGTAGCTGGAATTAAAGCATTTTTAAGCCACAGACTCTCTGCTGTTCAAGCACTGACATCTAGCTTGGCACTACACAGAAGGTCCTAGCCTCAAGCAACAGATACCCTTGAATTAGGCCAAAAGGGTCTACACAATTCATATCAAATTACCAAGGCTCTCTCACAGTATAGATCAGAAATGACTTTTGCATTTAGCCGTTTGTTTATATGTTTGTCTAGTGTAAAAAAATGGAGACCACAGCCAACAGCCAGCAGTGGCCATGAGAATGGAGGTGTGGTAAAATTCTGTGTGAAGGAATACTTCTGTCCTGGCTGAGGTCCACTCAGTTTTAGGAAGGAGGCAAATGCAGTCCAGAGCCTGTGTCTACACTGCACTAAGAGTAGAGATCATGTGCAGCATCACTGTAACACCACCACAGGAACCCTAGAAGCACCTCCTTGATTTCCCAGAGGCATAACCCAAACCTAGGGATGCACCTTTGCCTTCCTGAGGTGTAACTACAGATTTCAGCCTTTCTTGCATGAACTGAGTATGTAGTGCTGAGTATGCCCACATTTGTTCTAGAAATAGATGCAAAACCATAAAATAATTTTGTTTGGGCTTTAAAATGCAAAAATAATATAATTTTTAAAGAATAAATTTAAATGTTTGCAGCCCTGAGTTGATTGTCTTTTTAAACCCTCTGCTTATTTGAAATCTCTACTAGTGTGTAAAGGGTAAGCAACACTTCTTTCCCAATATTTTCCCTGTCTCAAATGGCATGGCAATTTAGACAATAAAATACACAGCACATGATTAATGAAGCTGTGCACTGAGGACAGGACATCTGTGGGATCACAAAGAGTTGCTTTCTGTACATGTTACTGCATGTTCAAGAAACTGCACAAATTGATAATTTGTTAAATTAATTGACTTTCTCTGTGTAATGTTAATGTAACCTTCAGTTTAAAAAGTGCACAGATTTGCTAGCAAGGATAACAGGTAGTCAAATCCCTAGAGGATTACTTAGGTTTGCAGCTCACCACTTTGTACTTTACCAAGGATATTAATATTTCTCAGGAGTCCTTAAATGAAACTAATCTTGAAAAAAAATCAATTTTAAAGCCATTTACAACTGAGTATAATACAAAAAATATCTAGCATAAGTATCACAGAAATAATGATATCTGTTCTGTAAGGAGATACACAGAAATTGGGAACAGTCCAGACAAGTGTCTTCTCTGATCCAGCCACTGAACAGCACAGAAAAAGGTTAGAATCAGTCTCAATTCAGTGATTCCTAAAGAAATTTTAAATTTATCTTTGCTAGTATCTCTGAGCCATTGGACTAGAAAAGTTGTGGTAGGCCTGAGCATACCTGGCTGAATTTTGACCCTTAGCACTTACTGAAGAGGGAGTGGAGGACCTGCCCTAAAAGAAGGGTAAAGAACTTTTTACATGAACTATAGGTCAAGTGACATTAGGCTGACAAGTTGCCAAGACTTCAGAGGTGCTACCCTTTTTACACCAAAGGGAATGAATTCCTTTGCAGGGTGAGAAGAGAAGGATCTCTCTAATGAAGGAAAACACAGAGGCTATTATTCCAAATTGAGACAGAAAGGAAGGTAGCGCACCTGACCAGTGACTAACCTGACCTAGTTCTGTCTTCCAAAGCTCTAAAGGGTTAGAACTCTTCCCTTGTCACCACACCTAAATCAAAGCTTTAAGTTAGTGCATAGAAGTTAGGGCCTAAGGCCACATTAAATAGGAAAATGTTCTTTTCTGTTTGAATCAGAGGGAGAAATTATGGTGTTTAGCAGTTCCAGTGACTGCTCATATTTGATAACTGAGACTCTGGTTTTATGTATATATATGTATGTATGTATGTATGTTTTTATATTCAAACAGGAGTGCATTTTTAATAAATTCCTGGGAAAAAGGAAGTAACAGAGTGGGGTGGCTTGGTGTAGACTGCACAAGATTTCAACCTATTTTTGCTTGAGCTATCAGGATGGAGTCGGAATGACAGCGGGACTCAGGCTTCTTTGGCTCTGAGTACCTTAGAGCACTTCTGTTGCTGCATAATGATGGCTACCTAACTCTCTTTTTCACTCATTTGATCAGCTCACATAATTGCACTTTAATGTTTTAGTTATTATAACTCATTAATGTAGCAGTAGAAGTTAGGAGAATGAGGATTATTATCTGTTGCTTTTAAAGGATGATACATTCTAGTTACTTACCAGGGGAGGAATCAATCAAAAACAATTTTCCTTGCAGTAGATGCAATCCTTTTCTTGCATGCACTCAAAATCCACAGATTAACCCCTGCTTCAATCCATCACTGCCACAGGCTCTCTCTGTGAAACCAGTTATGGGTGCAGAGAATTTCCAGGGGGTAGAATCTATTAATTTTGTATTTGCCTAGTAAAAAAAAGTGTAAAATAAAGTGCGGCATCTTCTGGTTTACAGCCCTGGATGGGCTCCATTTGGGAGGAATTTCTTCAAAACATGATCAAGTCTGGGTTTTAATGGATGTCATCAACACACTTGATCTTTTCAAACATGGTAGATGCATGAAAATGTTACAAGGCTTGGAGAACTGATGAAAAAAACATTCAAGCTTCATTCCATTTCAGCAAGGTCCAACTTCAGGGTATGTAGTCAGTGTAATGTTTGACCTTGACACTTCATCTCTGCAACCATTGCAGGCCTGCAGATCACAATCCTATACAGAGCCATAGGAAGCCATCAGAAAATACATCTGATTTCCCTAAGAATATTAATATTTAGTGAGTTCTTACACTGTGTAGTGAAACATATGTATGATACACACAAAATCTGGAAACTGCTACAGTGGGGGAATCATGAGACCACACTGATACAATGCACACTGAAGAAAAAAAGGTATGTTACCTAATGAAAATGTGCACCTCACATAAAAACCAGCAGAATATACGGAAATATTTATAAAGCCACCACATATTTGGTGTATTATATTCTGGAATCCATTGTGTACCCGATTATGAAATGTCTTTGTCAAA